GCACGCAGGTATACTCAATATATCAGTGTACAACAAGAGCAAGATCAAGAGACAAGCAAGTGAGCCAGAGTGGGCACAAGCCCAAGAGCAGAACAGAAACGCTGATGCACACTAGACCCAAGGGCCTTGGTGAAAACATCAGCAGTGTTGGCCCGAGTGGCCACGTAAGCAAGATGAAGCTGACCACGCTGCTGCAGCTCTCGCGTGAAGAAGTAACGGAGAGCAATGTGCTTCATTCTATGCTCCAGTCTCTGGTCTTGACACACGGCAATCATGGCCTTGTTGTCGACATACAAAACTGGAGGAGAACGAGGCTGCTCACCCAAGTTGGTCAGCAGGTAGGTCAGCCACCGGAGCACCTGTGCAGCCAGCCATAGCCTCAGCGTAGATCTTGGCCTCATGGCTAGAACTAAGTACAGAGGAAGAGCGAGTGGACCTCCACGAGACAGAACCAGTGCCGAGGCTGAAATTGTACCTTTGTGTCGACCGGTGAGTCGTCTGGTCGTCAGCCCAAGAAGCGTCTGAGTGACTGATGAGAACAACTGGACCTCGTCCTCCAAGCACAAGCCCCATGCCCGATGTGCTGCACAAGTAGCGCAATACCCTCTGAAGTCAAAGCGCTTAAGGACCTGCTGCACCATGTGTGACTGAGTGAGGGTGATGGTGCGGCGTGCTCTGTCCCGGATGATCTGCAAGCCAAGGTAGCTCCGCAGCTCACCCAGGTTAGTGCAAGTGTGTCCGTCCTGCAGCTCCGCCTTCACCAAGGCCAGAGCCTCAGTGTCAGCAGTAGCAAAAACCAAGTCGTCAACGGTCAGTAGTCGAGGGAGCGAAGCCAAGAGCCGCAAGCGTGGTCCTCAGTGTGTCATGCCACTCGCGGGGTGCCTATCGGAGGCCGTAGACTGGTCGCCGAAGACTCCACTGGGTACCCTCAGGAAACGACCCAGTGAAGCCACGTGGACGGCGCAACCAGATAGCCTCGTGAAGGCTACCCTGCAAGAAGGCTGTCGAGAAGTCGAGGGAGTGCAGCTCGTAGTTACGCTGTGCTGCAACGTGCAGTAGCACCCGAAAAGTGGTCATCTTTGGGGTGGGGGAGAAGGTATGAAAGTAGTCGACCCCTGTACATTGACTGAAGCCTCGAGCAACTTAACGCGCCTTGAAGACAGACGGAGAACCCGACGGCCACTTCACCCTGAAAATCCACATGTCATCGTCTATGTTCACCCCAGGTGGGGGAACCTCGTCGACGTAGGTGCCTGTGGACTTCAAAGAAGCCATCTCTGCGTCCATGGCTATCTGCCACTGAGGAGTACGGAACCGTAATTGCCTCTGTGTAAGTGCGTGGGGTTGGGATGTCTGGCGCATCCGCGTCTCCCTCTGGGCAAAGTAGCAAGGACGCGAGATGAGGAGCAGCGGCCGCGAGACACTTCAGCTCAAACTGCCTGTCCTCAAGAATGTCACAGCCAAGGGCAAGCTCACCCTCGACGGACGGAGGACAGGAAGAGTCAAAGACAAGACTCGCAGCGTAGTCAAGGCGGCTCAAAAGCGGCAAAGTCAACAAGCTCAGTGACTAAGGCAGACGCAACAGCAGATTCAAAGGAAGGGTTAGTCACAACTGTGGCAAGGAGACGAGTGACAGTCGGATTGACAGCACGAACAAGGTCAGACTCATGGTCAGGAACGTGAGGAAGAGAGGACGCAGGAGGAGAAGGCTGGACAGCACGCTGTGGAACAGAGGAAGGACGAAGTGCCATTTGGTGAGTGCCTGGCACAGCTGGAGCACGAGGACAGACAACACGACGACCGCGAACAAGAGTGGACGCACGAGTCTCAGTCTCACGACGCTCAGGAGTGGAAGCACGAGTCTCAGGCTCACGACGCGCAGTCAAGGATGCAGTGACCTCAGTGTGAGGAGCAGGAGCATGCAGCAGGGAGCCAGGCAGTTGCTGTGGCTGAGACTGGTCAGTCGGTGGGAATAGTAACGGAGGAGTAGTATGAGAAACCGGGAACTCAGTAGCAGCAGGTGGGAGACTGAGAAGGCGACCAAGCGCATACAGCTGCGACTGATTTGTCGCACCCCTAGAACCTTCCGCTCCAGTAGCAAGAGCACCCTCAGATACACTAGAACCTCCAGCTCCAGAAGCCCCAGCACCTCCGACTTCAAGACGGCTAGCTCCACCACCAGGGCTGCCCCACTGGACAGCCCACTCGCGCAGCCGCTCCGGCGAGAGAGCCTCCTACCGACTAGCACCACAAACTCCAGTACCTCCAATAGCACCTCCAGTAGTACCTCCAGTGTCAGCACCTCTAGCACTGCCAGTGGTACCTGCACCTCCAGTAGCGCCTGTACATCCAGTACCAGGAACACGAGTACCAGCACCTCCAGGGCTAGCACCTCCAAGGCTAGCACCTCCACAACCTGAACCTCCAGCACCTCCAGCAGCACTTGTGCATCCAGTAGCAGGAAACCTGGACTAGCACCTCCAGGGCTAGCACCTCCAGAACCTGCAGCTCCAGTACGTCCAGCGCCACCACTAGAACTGCCCCAACGGACAGCCCACTCGCGAAGCCGCTCCGGCGAGAGAGACGCCTCGCGACGTGCAACAGGATTACCCGCAGCAGCACCCACAGCAACAGCACCTCCAGTTCCTCCAGCTCTAGGAGAGCGAGCACGGCTAGCTCCACCACCAGGGCTGCCCCACTGTACAGCCCACTCGCGAAGCCGCTCCAGCGCGAAAGTTGCCCGCCGACGTGCAGCAGTGCCACCAGTACGAGCAACCACAGTACCACTAGTAGTAGAACCTCCAGCTCCAGCACCTCCAGCTCCAAGACGGCTAGTTCCACCACCAGGGCTGCCCCACTGGACAACCCACATGCGCAGCCGCTCCGGCGAGAGAGCCTCCTGCCGACTCGTAGCAGGACCACCAGCACCAGTACCTCATGTACCCAGAGGACCCTTAGCACCCCCTGTAGTACCACCTCCTGCAGCACCAGACTCCACAACAGCAGGCTGCAACGGCGGTGAAGACGGTCGAGGCGAAAACCCAGGAGTGTGGCCAAGTTGGGTTGAGGTGGATTGTGGAGGTTGGGATAGTGAAAAAGGTCGAAATTGGGTTGCCTATGGGGAAGGGAATTGTGTGGCATGGGGTTTCCTTGATTGGGGACTCTCTTGGGACCTTCCCTCTCGTCCTCCTCATCCCCTCCCACCTGGTTTATTCCTACTCTAACTCTCTTGTGTAGAAATTGTGAACTTGTGTGAGACTATTGTGATTGGGTTAAGATTTTATGGCAGCATACCCCCTAGTGCGCCGAAATTGATAACTCAAGAAATACTTCACCTTTTCATATGATTCAACTTGGAAATTGTAGCCACGGAGTAGAATACAAGATATCTGAGTTTGGTGAAGTTTTGACCGTGAACGTTTCGTCGACGACGTTTCTTGTGAGCGCGACTTTTCTGTCCAGAATTCAAAGCCAACGATTTTGAGAATTTTAGGCACCTAATCCTTGTAGACTCCGTCCTTAGTCTCTAACAGGGGGGTCGTCCACCAGGGTGAGAGGGGGGAGGGGTACCGGGGAACTGCGGTGGGGGTGAAGACGGTAGAAGCAGACGGACTCATCAAAGGTCACGTCCGGGGAGGACAGCACACGACAGGAGCCCGGGTGGTAAAACTGCCAGGGCGGTGCGTCGGTGGGGAAGCCAAGGAACATGCACCGAAGAGTGCGTGGAGAGAGCTTGCCCGTAGGAAAGTCGCGGACAAGAGAGAGGGAACCCCCGACCCGAAACGCTGACGCATCACCAACCTCGCCCGTCCACCGCAAAGTGGGGGAGGTCTCTGGGTGGGAGACACGGGGCCAGAGGTTGAGCTGCGCAGCTGCGTATCGGACCGCAAACGGCCACAGAATATGAGGAGCAGTTGCATGGATCATGGAGGTGCAATCAACCTCCATGACAAGACCAATGCGGCGCTCAGCAATCCCATTCTGCTGTAGAGAGGCCGGAAGCGTGTACGACTGGACAATGCCCTCAGCATCACAGAAGTCCTCAAGGAGACAGGAGCAAAACTCACCACCTCGATCAGAGTGCAGCCCCAGGAAAAAGAGGTCCTCACGGAACCGAGCACGAAGCTGGAGACGAACAGCGCGGATCCAGCGGATCAACACACCGCGGATATCCACCTTGCTCTGCAAGGGGAAGACCGTGGTGAAGCGCGTGTAGTCATCGACCTCCAGCAAAAAGTAGCGCTCGCCACCCTGTCCAGTGACGCGGGTGGGGCCCCACACGTCCATGTGCAGGGTCTGCAGAGGAGCAGAGGTAGGAGGAAACGAGGAGTGAGGAGTGGCGCGCTGCCACCCCTCAACGCAGGGAAGGCAGGGAGGCACAAGCGACCTCGGGAGCGGGGGCAGGGACGTGGGGAGACCAGACACAAGGAGACGCGAGTGCATACCACGCAAGCGTGGCAGGGAGGGGTGACCAAGACGGTGGTGCCAGAGGAGAGTCTGGTGCGTAAGGAGACGACACGAATAAGACAAGGCGACCTCAACTGACGCAGCTACCTGACCTGACTCAGCTACCAGTGCAGACTCAGTGGTCAGTGTGTACAGGCCAGACCCAGGCCTCCGAGTGAACGTGGCGAGGTGCTCACCAGTGCGCGAGTGCGTACAGATCGCCACTAGCTTGCCCGCAGGCTAGGTGACAGTGACCCACTGGTCCTGGAGGACAGAGGTAGCCACCAAGTTCTTAGCAAACAAGGGGAGGTGGAGACCTGTGAGGAGGCCGGAAGGGGCCGCCGGACAAGGGAGAACATTGGCGCCACGCGCGACTACCGGGCCCCCAGAGGGGTCAGCCAATGTGATAGGGACAGGGACTGTGAGCGGTGTGACTGTGGTGCTGTCGCGGAAGAAGCAACGAGACGCACCTGAGTCGAGAGTAAAAGTGTGCAGGGCCTCCTCAGGCTCTGCACCTGTGCTAGCTGAGTCAACGGTACCAAGATTAGCAGCCTCTACCCTAGAAACTCTAGGCACACACAAGTAACAGTCCTCCGCAACACTAGCAGAAGCAGCATCCATCGTATACATGCCAGCATGGATAAAGTCCCAATCACAAGCAAAGACATCAATGTCCTTCTTCAGCAAGGCTAACCAGTCTGGAGTCCTCAACTGCTCACCATGCTCCACACAATACAGGTCGTCGAGGCGAAAGAAGTAGCGAGGCTCCGCGTGGTCAGTGCGGGTGCAAGCCACGCCAGGCTGACCTATGCGACGGATGTACCCACAGCGAGCTGGGCCACCCGAGCTGCCACGCCTGATCGCCCACTCACGAAGTTGCTGCGGCGAGAGCTGCAGCTGTCCACCCCCAGAGCCGCCTCCACCACCGGCTGCACCACTAGACGTAGCAGTGCGTGTAGTCGAGCCTCTAGCTCCACCCCCTCCTGTAGCACCCCTAGTGCCAACCCCACCCCCGCCACCACCCCCACTGCTCCCTCCACCCCCTCCTCCTCCCCTGCCACCTCCACCTCCTCCTCCCCCACCACCGCCACCGCCACTACCCCCGCTGCCCCCGCCACCCCCGCCACCCCCACCCTTGCCACCCTTGCCCTTGCCGCTGCGGCGCTTCCCACTAGGAGCAGAAGCAGCTCCGACCTCTTCAGCACCGAAGAGGTCAACAGCAGCAGCAGAGGTAACAGACCACGCTAGCAGGGAGGGGGAGCACCCCTCAAAGACAGAGGGGTGGGGAGTGCCATGGAAGGCAGCGACAGCTAGGGCAGCAGACTCTGCCTCCAAGAGACGGGACTTGAACGTGTTGAGGGTGATATTCGTGGGGTCTAGGGTGAGGAAGTGGTCGCGTACAGCACGAAGGGAGTCAGGGAGGCGGGTCGTGAGAAATTAGAGGGTGAGATAAGTGGATGGCTTGTTCTCAGCCCTAAAAGCGGGCTCGAGGGCAGCAGCGTAGCGGGTCTCAAGGGAGCGCAGGTGAGTCATGAGGTCGGCTACTGTGGAGAACTCCGACAGCTCGGGAAAGAGGAACGCCAGCGCTAGACGGTCTACAGTGGCAGACGACGGGGACGAGTAGCGTGTGACTATAGCATCGTACATCGCCTTGGCCATCTTAAGCTGGCGAAAGTGAGAGCGCTGGTCTAGCGGAAGGTGGCTACAGACAGAAAGAGCAGCAGTAGCGTCACGAGACGCCCACCTAGACTGGTCTACATGAGTAGCTGTGGCAACAGGGGCGGCTAGGGTCCCAGAGGTATGCTCAAATAGTAAGATATCCTCCCTAGTCTGGCTTTGCAGGTACAGGTGGAGATCCTCCAGCCAGGATTCGAAGTCTACTGGGTGACCCTCTCCGTCAAAGGTGAGAACAGTAGGAGTTGCCATAGCAGCAGAACAGTAGCAGTAGCAGCAGCAGCAGCAGCAGTAGCAGGCGGCAGCAGCAGCTCAGGCGCAGCAGCGTAGCAGCAGCAGCGCGTTGGGCAGAAGCTGCGCAGCAGCTGCAGTGAGTGCAGCAGTAGCACGGGCCGCGTGCGGGCCTGGCGCAGGCTGTACGGGCTGCGTTCGGGCCTGGCGCGGGCTGTACGGGCTGCGTGCGGGCCTGACGTGGGCTGTACGGGCGGCGTGAAGGCCTAGCGCGTGCTGTACGGGCTGTGCACGGCAGGGCAGGGCAGGGCAGCGCGAAGCGCTGGGCAGGGCAGAAATGAACGGCCGGGCAGGGGGAAAACCTACATCGGTCAGAGGGAAACAAATGTGGTGGGACCTAAAAAATGGTCCTAGGCTAGGAACGTCCTAGTTCTTAATACCATGTTAGAATACTAGGATGATAGACTACTAGGAGACTAGGGTACAAGTATCGAGAGAGTTGTGTTGTACCCTATAGAAGGTATCACACTGCATCCTAACAGAACTAAACATAACTAACAACATAAAACATGTTTTGACAGGATGATCATAGACCATAAAGATCAAACTTCACTCTTATGAAACAAAATGACGTAGATATGCATCTATATGAAAAAAACAAAAGTATGGTAACTACACGACCCACCACTAACCAAACGGTAGAGTCCACCAGATTCTTTTGGGGTGCGCGTTGTTGCGGGTACGACGTCGTGTACGTGCCCCCGAAGCGGAATCACACATGCTTGCAAGGCTCGTGAACACGCATGCATCGGGCATTTGCGTCAGCGTTGAAAATGGCGTGCGCGCCGGAGCGCAACTCCCAGCGCGGGGTGGCGTCGAGGGAAGTCAAATGGGAGTGGAACTAATTAGAGGCGCCTTGTTCTCGTCCCCTAGGGGCGCCCCCAACCTCCCTGCAGCCTCCTCTACTACTTCAGGAACCACCTCGACTCCTACCACGTCCTCTTCGCCCTCCCCCACCTCGTCCTCCACCTCGTCCTCCACCTCCTCCCCCACATTCACTTCCCCAAACGGTGCCTCTACCCCTTGCTCCTCGGCTCCAATGCTCACCGCTTCGCCCCCACACTCCCTTATCTTGGACCATCGCTCCAAAACATCATCCACCCATCGCCAATCCATTGAACCAATCACCCTATCCTTCAACGTGGAACCACGCTATCTCGCTGACAACCAATGTATATGCCTGCCCAATGGTCTCCGCACCCCTCAATCTTATCTGCCACTTCTTGAGGAGTCATTGGTTGACCTGCTTCTGCCTTAGTTGCAACACGCATCATGCAATGGTGGAAATGAATGCAGAAGCGCTGTCCAACAGACACATCTGCCTCTTCACCCTCCGTGTCGTCACTGCTACACCCCTCATGAGCACGTTTCCGCTTTCCAGTCTTTCTCTCTTGCCACCTTGGGGTATGACTCCCAACAGCATCCCTTGCCACTCCAGCCCCCCCCGCCACTCCAAGACCCTAATTCGTCCCAGAAATATATCAAATTAGGGACGAAGTTATATTGCATCTACGGTATGAAAGATCTGGTAAATTAGGCTATCAAACTCTCCAAGAGTCATCTCTCGATATCCTCTAGGTGGAGCGTAGACTCGGCCGACTCCCTGATAAAATCGTGGGTGATCTCGTCCCGGGCGACAAGCGTGGGATGCGGATTAAAATCAAATGGTGTATCAACGTCGACCCACTTGATCTCCAAAATTCCACAGAACTCATCTGCTTCCCCACCCGAAGCACTGACATCATGGGGTGATGAATCAACGTCACAATTCTAAACTCCCCCTCTATGCTCATGCTTCACTTCCATCCCCCCCTTCTTGCTCCAAGCCCATTCGTTGTTTGGCCGATGGTTCAACCGGCTTCGCCCATTCATGGAATGCCCAATTCTAAGCAGCCTTTGCCGATGCATCATACTGAATCCTCCCCAATTTCGCACACACAAGGTAGATCAGTTTTTTTCTAGCGGATTGGGAACTCACACCTTTCTTCGCACCTCTGTTTAGCATCAACCACTCCAACAACTCCTTCTGCAAAACCAACCACAACTCGGAACACGACTGGGCCTTATCCACTGTCATGGTACCGACTTGTGTCTCCACAAAGTGTTTCACAAACAGCTGTGTCAATGTTCAATTTTTGTGCCAAACGTCCATCTGATTGTTGATACCAGTACCAACTAACTCCTTGAATGACCCTCCATCGTCACTTATGATCCCGGTCACATTGAACCCCCACTCTTCTAATTTCTCCAAGACAAGCTTGAATGCAACCCCTTCTAACACACTCGATGACTTTCCCTCCTCTTTTTTACATACCGTGATAGTCATCAAAATCTTTCGTGACCATCGATTAATAAAAGTGACAGTGCACCCACTGCGCCTCCCTTGCCTGTGACCAACGCCCATCCACGCAAAAGTATCCATCTCTCTCTATTTGTGCAGCTGCATGTCTCGTCGGGCCTAGCCATGCTCTCTTTCCCATAGACAATGATAGCCTGCCACAAACCGTACGGCCGTCGCATGTAACGATCGATCTCTTTCCCGATAGAACCCAAGTGTCCGACTAACCTCCAACAGCGGCTAGTGTTGGGTGAAAATTCACATTGCACGACATCCTGCCGTCTGTTTGTACGAGTGTGCGTGTGCGAATGCATTTGGGTGTGAATGGAATGTTCGTGCGTTTGTTTGCTTTCGCAATTTTTGCTTGAAGAATTTGCAGGTACTCGCGCATTGTGCGCTTCGGCACAACATTGTACGCGCTATGAACAGTACAAGCAGAAAGGACGAGCTCGCAAAGGAACCCAAGATGGAAGCTTTGTGGTTTGGCTAACTTGACTGCGCAGATTCAGTTCTATCCAACTCGAAATTGTACTGTTTTGTTTGGTCGACTATAGTGTAGCAGGCCAGGCACTATAGGGGTACAATTTAGGTGAAGGTTGGATGTTGTTTGTCTGTATCTGCATTCTACAGGGCCAGGGGAAACCAGCAGAACCAGCATTTGGCTGGTTGGGCAAAGACAAGACAGGTTCTGTTTTTAGGACCTGAACCTGGTTGTTGTTTTCCCAGGTTGGAAAAACAGAACCAGAGGTTGTTTACCAACCTACCAACTGCAATTTTGTCCAGCCATGTTGGTTCAGTTGCTTGGAATTATTTGGGATCATCCCTGGTTGTTCCCAGGTTGATTCCCAAGGTCCTTGCTAGCTAGAACTATTTATTCCTTCTCTATTTGTACCTAGATATAGTGAATTCGATTCAAGTGAATTCCTTCCTTGCTGGAATTTCGTTTCTACGCGGTGCGACGGCGGAATGCTACCCGAGTCAACGCTAGTATGCTAGCGCCCCAGTGCTAGGCAAATGCTGTATGATCGATAACTCCATAATGGCAGAACTTTTCGCGAGGCAAGTGGGCTCATTGCATAGATCTTGGAGCGAGCTTCAATAAAGGAAATTCTTAGCTTAATCCGATCGACGGTCTGCACGATATGCTGCGCAACGTTCAAGGTACTCTTGCTAATCTGGCTAAGTCTTTCTTGACTCCTCTCTGTACAAACTCGGACCTGAGGATAGGGGCTGGTCTTGTACCAGGCACCCAAGGACCCTTGGAGGTGACCCCAAGGAGAGATTTTATGTTTGATTAAGTCTTAGTAGATTGAGTTTATAAGGCCCTTACAACAACAAGCTGGTATCAGAGCTGCGTTATAGTGATCCTCCTTATAGGTAGCTATGGCGGGCAACACCTCGACGGGAGCTGGTAAATCTTCAGCCCAAGATCGTAGCGGCAGCCAAGATTCTGGTGTTTCAACGCCAAGGGGAGCGCGAACAAACCAGGGCTTGCTGGTCAAGGAGGTGCTGAAGAACTTCACTGTCGAGAAGTTCAATGGTGAGGTTGGGCCTGGAAAATGAAACTCTATTTCCGTCAGATTGGATTGCTGAAACTAATGATTGGGGAGGAGCCTAGACCGAGTGACCCCACGCTGCAGGAAGATTGGGACGAGCGCTCCTCGGCTGGCTACTATTTGATGTCGCATGGTTTGGAGCTGAACCAGCATCACCACGTCATGCACCTGCTGCCGGAGGTTGAGTGCGGTCCGAAGGTGTGGACCGTATTGAAGGAGCTGCACACCCCAACTTCCGTTGTTGCAACGTTGATGCTGGAGAGGGAGCTGTCCGCGTTGCGCTTGAACGAGGAAGAGCCAGTGCAACCTATCCTGGACAAGATGCGCGAACTGTACGCGAAGTTGGCGACTACGGGAATCACCCACCCGAAGCAGACCAAGTGCTTGAAGATGCTCTTGTTGCTGCCGGAATCATGGCTTCAATTCACGAGTGGATTGAGCCTACCACACAACCAGAGCTCGTGGACACTCGAGTGGGTACGGACGAAGAATCTGGAGGAGGACTTCTGTCGCCGCCAACTAAAGGGTGGAGACGACGGCAGTAGCGGCTATGGGATGCAAGGGAGCCAACGTGGCAGAGGACGTGGCTTCGCTGGTGTTGGACGCGGTGCAAAGAAGGATACGACTCCAACAACCAACAAGGAGGTACCAGTTGGGGTCGCGGTGCGAAATCTGGACGTGGGGGCAAGTCGGGTGCTGGTGGCAAAATGAAAGGGAGTTGCTGGTATTCTGAGAAGGAGGGGCACCCCTGGTTTTTGTGCTATAAGAAACCCGATGAATGGACCCCCAAGAATCGTCACCATGATGGCGGCGCGCGGAGGAACCAGAAATATGGCGCGAGCATGGTCGCTGATTCGTCCGACAACAACCCGAAGAGCAACAGCGGTGCGGAGAAGAAGGAGCGCACCACGGGCCAGTTCTTCCATATTGGAGAGCAGGGGGAGCAAGGAGACGCCTCTGCAATGGTTGGAGCAGAGCTGCACCCCCTGAACTATTAGATGTTGGACATAGGCGCTGCTTGGACGATGACGCCGCGCCAGGACCTGCTGGACGACGTACGCGCTGCACTGATCAATGAGGTGTGCTCCGCCTCTAGACACGCGCTAAAGGTGGCTGGTGCGGGACGAGCTGCGTTTAAGGGAGCGAATGGCAAGCCGGTGGTGCTTCACGACGTTCTCCTCGTTCTTAATCTCAAGGCCAACCTCATCTCCCTCCGTAAGCTTGGCAAGGCCGGGGTGAGCACTAGCTCGAATGGGGCACTCACGTAGAAGGGGCAGCTGGGCAATTGTGTGCTTTGGGATCTGCACAAGAGCAGAGACGTATACAGATCCATGTGGCAGCTGCCGGCATTAGCGTGGCACGGTAAGAGGCAGGCTCGAGAGGGGTCTGCATCCCAGGGGGAGTGCAACGCCGTTGGAGGGGTTGGTGTGAAAGTGTCGGCCAGATCTGGGGAGACGGATTGGGCAACGGCACACCAACGCTTGGGGCATATAGCAATGCCTTTGCTGAAGCAGATGGAGAAGGACGGGGTCGTCAAGGATCTGGAGCTGGATGGCCAGCCACCTGATAACAATTGTGAAATATGCTTGCTATCCAAACTCACCTGTTTCCCCTTCCATAGTGTGACTGGCAGGAGAAAGAAGCCTTTAGAGTTGGTCCACATGGACTTGGTCGGGCCGCTGCCGGTTCAGGGGCACAAGGGGGAGCGGTACTCTCTGACCATAGTGGATGATTCGAGCAGGCTAATGTGGGCATATCCGCTGAAGCAGAAGGACCACGCCGCCTCTACGATACGGGAAGATTGGCTGCCATTCGTGGAGAAGCAAGCGGAGCGTGTGGTGAAGCAGATTAGGACGGATCGGGGTGGTGAGTTCCTTGGAGCTGAGATGACGGCCTGGCTCAAGAAGCAGGGCATCCAGAGGGAGCTGACCACGACTTACACCCCACAGTCTAACGGTGTAGGAGAACGGGCAAACCGGATAATTCTGGAGACAGCTAGGGCACTGCTAATAGAATCTGGGTTGGGCAACTTGATGTGGCCCCATGCTGTCCAGCACGCTACAGTGGCTAGGAACAGGGTGCTCACTAAAGTTGGTGATGACTCGTGGGTGTCGTTGGAGAGGTGGCTTGGGAGGAAGCCGCCGGTGGACATGGTGTGGGTGTTCGGTTGCATGGCAGTCGCCCACGTCCCCAAGAAGTATCGATGTAAGTTGGGGGCGAGT